TATCTTCTGATTTCCTGGAGTCGTCTACTTATCCAACCTGCTGTATTCTGTGAACCAATTCAATTGTTCCAACCCTCTGACACAGGGTCAAGCCAACTTTCAAACTCCATCAAATCAGCTCCACAACCTGCACACAACGGCACAATTACTCCACATGCAAGACAACCTGTCTGCCTTCACCTACATCTTTAATTGAGACAAATCTCCCCCATGTGCAGGTGGGCACAGGGTGCCAGGGATACAACATCTAATCCTGCAGTGAAACTTGGTCAATTTACCAATTACCTGGGGGGCAGGCGCTCTATAAATTTTCTTTCCTGTCCCTAAATCGGAGCTATTATGTTGTCTTTAAGTCTGATTGCGATTCAGGAGTCAATTAAGAAGGGGAGGGGCAGTCGTCAATCACCTGAAATAAAATTCTTTACTAACACACACTGTATATAAAGAAGTGTTGGAGCAGAGCAGATTCCTCCTAAGCATTTCATTGTGGTTTTACCTGTGTTCCCATGCAGGTTTGTCTACTAATTCTACTACAATTTCTAGAGTTAAATTTTGCTCATCCATGACTCTTTCCTTCATTCTCTCTCTCTTTCTTTCCTCCTTTCCTTCCTTTTCATTTCCCTTCACTATACATGAATAAATCCCATACTTCCATCTTGTAGAGTTTAATAAGTCCTGAGTACATGATACACCAGTGCCCCGGGGTGCTGATATCCTGGTGGTTTCTGTCAGGTTTGATTCCGTCTCACAAGCTAAGCCTGCCACACAGAATGAGATTTACACTTTTAGCCTAACATGGCCTTCACTTTTAACCTTTAGCAAGTTAGGGGCTGACAGTTCTCACAGTGTTGTATGTGAGTATATTAGGTGGTACAAGGTACTACAAGGAATAGTATGGTGAGGACAATGCCTCCATGTACCTTACTAAGTATCACTTTAAAGTTACATTTGGAGATTTTGATGATCCTAAGACGGATGTTGGTCAAGATTTCTCAAACTTAAAACTTAAAGGGCGATTTAAGATTGTAGTTATTACTGTATATCATGACTATTGTTGGTACAGTGCCAAACTACAGAAATAAACTCATCCCAGTTATCTGAAAAGAAGTAAGGGTCATGTCAGAAATATTTTAAGATGGAAATGTAATAACTTGAAGCTCTTGTATTCTTACTTAGCTTTGGAAGTTTATAGTTGTGAAAGAACTAACTGTAATGTTGCCCCCTGCTGTTTCTTATTTGATGGTTTACAAATAAAATCCCAGTCCCCCTGGAGGACCACACAGGTGCAAAAACTACAAATTACTGATGAACACCAGACTTGACCTCTCCCTGCGCCTGCCCTCCCCCTCCCCCGGGTGGGCTTTGTTTTCACGCTGGGTGCAAACCTTCTGAGGGAATCCCCACAGATCCCTTGCAGGTGGGCAAAACCACAGGCTCTGATCACATACAGATCTCAGCTTGTCAACTGGAGGAAAGAGAGAAGTTCTTTGCCAGAAATACCCAATTCTTAGGTACTTATCACATGCTAAAAGGAAATGGTAGAGGATAAACAAGAAAACATCAATCAATTAATCAAGAATGTGTCAATATAAGGTGGAACAGGTAGCAATGCCTAGGTCAACTTGCTGTCAAAACCCATATTCACAGTGAGGGGTTATCAACAAAACCAACACCGTCATTGTCATAAATTCATCACTAGACAAGTAGCAGCACTCAACAAGCTACTGTAATTCCTGATTTTTTTATGGTACTTTTATGTTTGCAGTTTTGGTGCTCACTTATCATTACTGTAATTCTCTGACTTTATTTTTTCTGCACATGCGACCACCATGAACATATAGTTCTGTGAACACTTTCATTTTTCTCAGACCATGAACTTTTGCTATCGTGAACATAAAGTGAATTACAATATCATATTGATGACCAGATTACCTCAATTCAATAATCATTACTGGTATAAGTCTCTGGCCTTCCTGCAGCTGCCCTTGGTTATCAGATTAAGCTTTATATCCTTCAGTAGACATGCTTTATGAGTAATTTACATGAACTGTAGCTAAAATCATGAGTTTGGTCTTCTGTTGTACCAGTATATACAGTAGCTTGATTTCATGAGAAGAATGTGATTCCACATATTTCCCCTCCTAGCTGATGAGAAGGACAGGCCTGGATTCCAGGTTAATCCAAATGAAATGAGATCTTAGTCTTGTCAGGTCTGTGAAGCCTGTGGCTTCCTCCTGCAGGTGTGACCTACTAACACTGGGGCTCAGGAGACTGCACTGCAATTTTCTAACCACTGAAAGGTATTCTGACACATATCAAAGATGTCAAAACTTGGCAGGGATTTTGTTTCATTCACACATGATAATCTGGGTAGGAGATGTTCAACATGCTTCGGCTTGAGAAATCAAAAGGGTTTCTTGACCTCTTATAAGGACACACTTAATAGTCTGTCCTTCCTTCCTTCCGTCAGTCTGCCCTTCTGTCCATCCATCCACTCACTAAGTTGTTCTTTCATATTCTTCTCCATGAAAAACATCTAGCTATACACCAGTTAGTGGAAAAGGTGCTTTGTTATCAGAAAATGCTTGTGTTTTGTGACTTTTTGATGTTTTTAGGCAATCATTGCATCTTCTTTCATTGACAACCCATCTTGAAGCACTTTATCTGACAGACAGTGTAAGGGAATTCAACACTGCTATCTGGGCCATCCCTACATGTATCTGCTGGTCCAATCAGAATGCCTGACACTTCCAACCCAAGGAACAAGCCCTCTGCTTGTTTGTGCAGCTCAGGAGAAGCTATCTAACCCTGTGGACAAATAAATGTCTGCTAGCAGGTCAGTGTTATTACAGACACTTGAGATATTGGCCTGTTTGTGCCAATTAGTACTAGACATACAAATATGGGAGCTGGGGTGGGTGGGTGAATCAATGTTCTCCCATCATTCCCACCATCATCAATCAGAAAGTATCAAAAGAACTGGATCCATCAAAGAATCTTAGCGCATTCTTAGGTATCACTGCCATCATTATCATAATCAATATCACCAATGTATGCTGATGATGTAGCTGATAGAGACTTTCATCCATCAGTGACAACTTGGACAGCTAGCCTCTATCAGGCTTCAGAAGAAGCTGGAAAGACTGGAAATTGACCAGATATTGACTGATAACGTACCAGGGGATTTGGTCTGCTAAATAAAGTATTTGCTACCTTGGTTGCTGCAGATGTACTCCCTTAGCGCACCAACTCCCCTGGCATGTTATCTGTCTACATTGTGTATTTGGCCAATTTCTACTCTTTCCAGCCGCTTCCCCAAAGCCTGGTAGAGGCTAGTAGTAAGCACCTGTGGACCTTATCATGCTCTACAGCTGGTGATGGGGAGGGGCTGGTATTTACTGTGTTTACATCCAGCAGCCACTACTTTCCTGGTCTGGGATGGGACAAGATAAACAGAAGGAATTTCCCATGGAGAGGAACATCTGGGACTGCTGTATGTCCCACAAGGGCATGAGAAACTCTTTATATCAAGTTAGAATACCACATGGGGATGGGATGCAAGAATGACAGATGGAAAGAGACACCAGCAGAAAAATATAGAAACTTCATCAGAACAGTATGGATCAGTCAGGCTTTTGAATAATTTCACAGCCTTCTGGATGTAGAATCAGAAAAAAGAACAAATTTGCATTTAACTGAAATTGTACCAGGGCTCTAGCCAGTACCCATTTTACCCCTGGAACTTTGTGGCATATGATGGACAAAATCAACAAAAATTTGCCACACCAACAACCACCCTCAACCCCAAGATTTGCCTCTCAAAATACATGTAAGTGAAGTTGCAAATGAAACCAAGGAGGTTATGTATTTAGCCTCCTTGGTGAAACCAATAAATTTTATCTAGATGAAAAAAAGTAAATTCTGACACACAATAGCAAACTCCCCAACATCCACCTGTCAATCATCATCTCCCGGTGCTGATAAGGAGGGGCCTGGTCAATGTTTACATACAAATCACCACTTTTCAACCAAACTGACAGGAAATCTAAATATTGACAAGCTCCATTTGTCTCCATGAGGAGAGGAGTCCCCAGGGACTGATGGGAAGACTTCTGCTGAAACACTTCCAGTGAAAGCAGGGTGGGAAACTTTCACACATTTGTTTGTGGAGAGTTCTTGGACGTAAACAAAGGTGACCACCTGTAATAGTAATGCTTTTGCCACATGTACTTACTTAAGCTTCATCATAGCTGACAAGGCACTAGACAAAAGTCATTCTCATTGACAGATGAAGACTGGTACATGTATGATGTGCAAACAAGTGGTTGGGTCCTGCAATACTTACCATTGATCAAGTTATACATCAATGCTATATTAGCCTATCTTGGTGGGCAGTTTGGATTATTTTACTCAAAGTTGCTGTCCAAAAATGTTTATCATTTCTTTTGCTATTTTTCAGACCTTAAGAAACCAAAACTTACTGTTGATCAGAATAAAGGCACAAACAAAATAAGGAAAACTTTTCGAAAACTAAAAGTCATGCTGAACAACAGAAATGTGCACCAAATGTAAATCTTGTGATAGAAGTTACTTTTGAATGGTCTAGGACTAGGATGGCCACAAGCTGCCTTGAAGACAGTATTCTCTGGGAGATGTCACCTGCAAGAGTCATCAGTGATAGGAGAGACATGTGTGTGACATCGTGTTAGTATGAGTCACCACTTTTTCTCATATTAACCAGTAAACAGTGGGACATGGAACATAAACATCGACCACAACCACATGACTCTGATTATAGTCTATTTAGAATGACTCTTCCTCCAAGTGCACAGGAGACCACCCTCTAAGAAAGAGTGGGCTATGGATCATCATTTCTTTCACAGCTGTAACTTTTGGTGACACCTCTTACATGTATGTGCTGCTACAATACAGTATAGAAGACATAACATAAACATTACAAGTTGATCATCAAGTTTACTGAGTGAGAGTACTGTACTCACCACTTCTGTGGGCCTGTAGTACTTCTGGGACACCCTGACTCGCACAGTGCCAGTTGCCTTGTCCTTCCCAACCTCCTTCAGTCCCTTACCCTCCCAGCTGAAGAAAATAAAGGAAAGAAAAAGGTTAACATTGCTTCATCTCTTTTTCATCAGTCCATATTGTGCTGAAGACAACCTGTTCACAAAGGTTTCCAAGGGGGTTACAAAACAATTCTGTAATTTATGTAATTTGTTACTGTTTGTTTTGCAACTTAAGCATCAAATTTCTTTGGCTTTCTTCAGTGCACTGAGAGTTTACATTTCCACCCTTGTTCAAGGACAGGAGCTTGTTATTAATCAATGGAGATTCAAAAAATCGTCTGTAATTCACTTATGTTCGGGGTAGCAAAAGTTTGTGGTCTGAAAAAAATGGACATGTTTGTGAAACTATATGTTCGCAGTGTCGGGAGGTGCAGAAGAAAGATAGTTGGTGAATTATTTGTTCATGATAATGATAAGTTCGCAGTGCAGCACTGACTGCAAAGATTGTGAACATAAAAGTACCATGAAAGATCGAGAATTACTGGTACAGTACATGTACTTGAACTTGGAGATAGTGGTTAGGAAAGTGTGCAACAAGCCATACTCAGGAAACCTATCACATGAGAAGGGTGTTTCTTCTATTTAAAACCACCCCACATGGCCCTGTACTAGACTGGTCCTCCACATACTACTGCTGGTTTCCAGCTTGGGCACCTCTGCAAAAGTTTCCCGTTCTATGGGTCAGGAGAGAAGAAAGGTGCCCTCGCATGGTGGAGTGAGCAAAACTTCCTGGACACAGATGCAGGGGTGGGAAACGACTCTTTACTTCTACACATGTACATCTACAGAGCCCTGCTCCTCACATTTACAGCACCGGCCCACCAACATGGCTCATGGTTCAGCTGAGAAGAAAGTCGGCAGAAAACCCTGTCCATTTGTTCCCTCTGGAAGAACATGTTTCTCGTAAAACTCTGGTCGAAATCTGGTTTTGTTGCTGATTTTGTTTGTACAACAAGAGCATAGCTAGCACTGCAGGAGTATTTTTACACTAACCCTAATCTAGGGTTACGCTAACCCTAATTTAGAGTTATGCTATCCCTAATTTAGGGTTATGCTAATGGCAATGTTGCAACAGTAAAGACACAAAATTTGTCCCAAACTTATTGATCATGTTGTTTTTAGCCCATCATTTCCTACCAACTTTTGTTACATAGGGCATATGTAACTTTTGACTAACTTGCTGTAAGTTACAATGTAGAAATGGTTTCTAATAACCGAATTCCTCCAAACCTGTAGGTGTTGAGACTTATTTACTGTCCTATCACCATGTAGGAGAGAAATAAGTGCCTAGAGAGGCCTGTGTGTCACAGTGAACTGTAAACATGCCTGGAATTTATGTCCCACCCAGCTACAAGCCCAATCACTTCAGATATCTTGATTAAGTTCTGCTGCTAGTGATCATGCTGACCCTGTCTCATTGATGTAAGACAGCCAGTGGTTGGCTCTCCACCTGACGAGGCTGTGGAAAGGGTTTCTCAAATCTGTTATTTAGAAAAAACTACAGAACATTTTATCTGAAGTGAACAATTATTTTCAAAAGTGAGTGGAAATTGCATCATTTGTGAAACAATTCCAAAACCACATGTTGACTTTTTGCAACAGTTGAAACTTTGATGAAACCCCTTCACACCCTCTGTGTAAGATGCTTGTTGGTACAAAATTTGATCCTCTCCACATATGAAGACTGGCCTTAAATCTTGGACAGGACCCACCCAACTTGTCAACACCTTTGATGGACTGGAAACCCACACCTTTGTTTTCAAGATGTCCTTGTAAAGTATGGAACATATTAAAATCATATTGTTAGTTTGATTCTCGCTGAATAGAAATAGCAAAGTTCCAACATTTATTTCCAAAACATACTGTACTTGAGAGAATGTTGCAATGGTTTATCATCATCGATTCCACATTTTATCACAACCTTCTGTATTCTTTACACTTTTTTTGTTTACCTTAACTACTTGTCTTTAAAACCTGTTTCCACTTAATTATTTGTATAATGAAAATACATTTTCCTTTCTTCAATTGTATCAACATAACTTCCTTGATTCTACTGACCAGGTGTAGAGATACAATTAAAGAAATTTTATATTCCCCATGTCATATATGTATCACTATCAGTCATGAACCAGTCAAAATTTGTAAATCGTTTTCTGGACGAAAACCATCTGTCTTTCACCATGACAAAATACTGGGCATGTATTCATACAGGCTGTGGCAGCTTTCCACACCTGACAAGTTATCTTTCTGAACCCTGTAACTCACACCCTCCCCCTGTCCCTAGTGTAACACTCCCACCTGTGCAATAATAAGGTTATGACAGAACTCAGCTCAGAGTTTACAGATGGAGGAACTCTCCATGTGGCAACATAACCTTACCAAATTTCATAGAAATATACAATATATCTGAATGCCAGTTTGATGTATATGGTAGGTGTTTTTTCCCTAACTGTACACATGGCTGTAATACCCATCAAAACTGCACTGTGTGTGTGTTCAAATGGTCTATCCTCTTTCCATGTCTAAACTAAACATTTTCACAGAAAGCTGAAGTGTTTTCATACTTATGCCCACACACACGAGCAAACAGGGGCACTGTGCCTCAGGTCTACAGTGTGGGAGAAGGGCAGGACCTCAGAATGGGAGGTCTTTTTAATATCTCTGTGGTTGTGCTTCAAGTGGTGGACCAGAGGTTCTGGGATCGATTCCTGCTTTAGATAATTATGTAGTTTATAACTTCATGTGGCAAATCCTGAGGCTTGTCACTCAAAACAGTTTTTTTATAAACAATAAAACATATAAGAAATTCATAGCACCTTTCTGAACAAAAAGTGGTGGAAGAATCTATTTACATGAATGTGAGTTGGCAAAATTTCACAATTACCTCTAGAGAAGCAGTATACTAATCTCCATTGTACGAAATAAATACAGTGGGCAATGATAACATCCCAACTTTCAGTTACAAACTACATTGAAATCATTATAGTTCAATACATACGCAGTTGAGTTGAAGTTTATCAAAAAAGGAACTCGTAGGCCTGAGTTGCTTGAATTGCATCCTGATACTATACAAAAATATTACTAAACTTATATATCTAGCAGGATCCCCGTGTCCATTTTTGGTCAAGTGTGTCCCTAATTCACAGGGAACACTGAACCACAGAGAGGTCTACCTTACTACAACTCAACATCAAACAAGCTCAGGTTCACCCCAGAATAGCCGTAGGTATGACAAACGATATTCCTGCACTTCCAACAATCTTCAGCTAAACACCAGGTTAATTGAAGGCTTCCGGGATAATTACTCAACAACTGTTGTGTAACCAGAGGTGGAATGGAATTTCTAGGATATGACATCAACCCTGCTATTGGACACCCTATTTAAAAATATCCTGGCCTTTCCACCTGAGGTTTATACTTCCGACCTCGACTCAAAACACATCTTTACAGAGTCAGTGATGCTGTGGGGAACAGGAATGGGGGCAATGTTGGAGGAAGAATGCAGATTGCTATCACATGTTTCATTGTCTACAATCTTACAGAGGGATCTGTGTAAAACCACCAGAGAACATTTTTCCACTGAGCAACGTCACTCTGGAACACCCTTTTCCACTAACGTTCTCACCTCCGCCATAGCTGTCTCCATTGAAAGGAAGCTCTGGGACTGTCTGGGCGACCTTTACATCTGTACACACTGACCCTGACTTGTCCACATAGACTCAGAAATAGATTCCATCATAGATTTAGTTATTTTTATACAACGTTACATACTAGCACTTTCAGTCATACTTACATAATGTCCACTCCGATGTGCTTGAAGGAGGCGACCACAAACTCCCTGACACTGTGCACTGTGCCCGTGCTGATAACAAAGTCTTCTGGCACCTGGTGCTGAAGCATCATCCACATGGCCTGGGGAGGGATAGAAAGAAAAAACATGAAACACAGTCTGGAGAGAGAACAAGTCAGACCATTCACGATACGTTGTACTGCAGATATATCAGTCATGTAGTAAAGGATTGGGAAAAATTTGAACTTTGAATGAGGACATCAAATGATAACAAGGGAAGTCTGGATTTTCCTGATTATTTCATACTTGAAGCATTTGAAATAGCCCCATAACAAGCTCCATGACACATCTCTTTATTTTTGGGGTACCTTTCCAACGACTGTTGACTGTGCACTATTGTTCATCTACTGTTGATTACTGTTTCTTCTCTCAAGGTCATATGGAGACATATTGAGACATAACTGCATACTTTACTGACTACTGGTACATGTATGTTCATTGCTACATGGCATCAGGTGTGTGGAAGTGTCCTGCTTTGACATTTTACCCCTTATACAATGATACTACATGTACCGGCACTTGTGTCAGTGTTACACTGTCAGGCCTTGACTGTGGAATCACAAGTCAGGAGGTCAAACAACTGTTATAGAGGGAACAGGATGCGACCCAAACATTCATGATAGAGATGGGGAAGTGCCAGGCCATGGGCCAATGGCAAGCATGTGTACTTCCGCCAGATGTCAGCAGGACATGTTGCCATGGCAACCATAACTATAAACAAGCTAGGAACTGCGGTATGCTACCAACACATGGGTCTTCTCAAACATCTAGTTCTAGACACTCAGATATTGGTCCCTGTTTGATTTTCACCCAAAAGAAGTTATCAACTTCCTTCATAAAAAGAAGACATGTGAAACACCTCCTTAACTTTATCTCCTTAACTTTGACATTTGTGACAAGACCTTAAGGTCCCGACATATGAATATAGGAGATAAACACATTAAATAGTTTTACAATCTAGATCAAGGTCATTGAAACATCATCCCCCCCTCCTCCCCCTCAGAGAGAGTTCTGGAGGACTGATCAGTCTGTTACCATGGTTACCAGTAGAGGGTGTGGCCCATGTTGGGTGTTCCTGCCCTTGTAAACCCACCTTGTTGAAGTTCACCTACACCCACCAGACTTAAGGGAGCAATTTGTCGGCTGAAATTAGAGCAGGGTCTAAGGAGAATGCCATCCCAGAAATGCTTCCAACCTAGGTCTGGTGTTTTGTCTCTTTGTGAACTTGTTTTGAACAATCTAAGGCATCTGATGACAGCTTGTTGGGTAGAGGGTTGGACTCCAACGCTGTAGGAGACGTTTTGTAGCACGTGACCCGGGGTCAAACGTTTCAACTTGAACAGTTGACATGGCAGCTCTGTGGTGATGTCTGTCAGCTGGCCCGGCTGTCTCCCAGGCTGCCCATTGGATTTGGGTCATTTCAAATCTACCAACCATCTCTCTCTGTGGTGTTAGGAGTGTGCCGAGTGATGAGACAAAACTGTTTGCTATCCTAGAAATTTGCAAAAGCATGATGTGGCAACTTGTCTACTGCATCATTTGGAGAACAGGGAAGGAAGGTTTGCAGAAATGCTGAGGAAAAAGACTTCTGGTCTTCACCTTAAGGAAAAATACTTCTAGTATTTATATCTTGGTGAAGTGATGGCTTTGAGAGCTCATTAAGCTACATTACCATGAGAGGAATTTCACTTTCCATCTGACACCTGCATGTAACGTTAGGTAGAGGTTCTCTAGCTGATGCAGCTAATACCAGGACCATTCTCCTCTGCACGGTAACCTCTCTGGGCAGATGTAAGCCATCAGACAGGCTGACTTCCTGACATGGGGATGTAGACCTTCTACTGCTGATAGCAGCGGCATGGCTCAGCCTGGATCCCTGACACATGCACAGATATACAGGAACTGCTACATGGCCGGCCAAACTGCCCTGTATATCTCCTACCTCCCCTCTACCACCCTGATGTGAAAGGGCAAAAGGGTCAGGGTTATCCTGGTAACAAATGGTAGCTTTAAAAAAAATCTTTATGAACTATACTCACTAATCTTCGTTGGAATTCCTTAAAAAAACATTAATTGATTTCCTCTAGAAAAATTCAAACTACGAAACTGCAATCTGTCCATATCTATACTTTTTCAGTTATTCTTCAGTTCCTGTCATCCATAACTACTGAAGAAAGTGTATTTCTCCATGTTGCTGTCTTCTAGTTGGTTCGAGTTCTAGTTGGNTTCTCTGGGAGATGTCACCTGCAAGAGTCATCAGTGATAGGAGAGACATGTGTGTGACATCGTGTTAGTATGAGTCACCACTTTTTCTCATATTAACCAGTAAACAGTGGGACATGGAACATAAACATCGACCACAACCACATGACTCTGATTATAGTCTATTTAGAATGACTCTTCCTCCAAGTGCACAGGAGACCACCCTCTAAGAAAGAGTGGGCTATGGATCATCATTTCTTTCACAGCTGTAACTTTTGGTGACACCTCTTACATGTATGTGCTGCTACAATACAGTATAGAAGACATAACATAAACATTACAAGTTGATCATCAAGTTTTACTGAGTGAGAGTACTGTACTCACCACTTCTGTGGGCCTGTAGTACTTCCGGGACACCCTGACTCGCACAGTGCCGGTTGCCTTGTCCTTCCCAACCTCCTTCAGTCCCTTACCCTCCCAGCTGAAGAAAATAAAGGAAAGAAAAAGGTTAACATTGACTTCATCTCTTTTTCATCAATCCATATTGTGATGAAGACAACCTGTACACAAGGTTCCCCAAAGGGGTTACAAAACAATTACTGCGATTTATGTAATTTGTTTGTTTGTTTTGTGACTTAAGCATCAAATTTCTTTTCGCTTTCTTTAGAGCACTGAGAGTTTACTTTTCAACCCTTGTTCAAGGACAGGAGCTGGTTATTAATGTATGGAGAATTTAAAAAATCTTCATCTACATGTACTGTAATTCACTTTATGTTTGTGGTAGCAAAAGTTAGCGGTCTGAGAAAAAAGGACATATTCATGAAACTATATGTTCGCAGTATCGGGAGGTGCAGAAAAAAGAAAGTTGGCTAATTATTTGTTCATGATAATGATACGTTTAAGGTACAGCACTGACCGCAGAACTGCAAACATGAAAGTACTATGAAAAATCGAGAATTACCAGTACAGCACTTGAACTTGAAGATAGTGGTTAGGGGAGTGTGCAATTATAAGCCGTACTTAGGAAACCTATCGCATGAGAAGGGTGTTTCTTCTATTTAAAACCTCCCCACATGGTCCTGTCCTAGACTGGTCCTCCACTTACTACTGCTGGTTTCCAGCTTGGGCACCTCTGCAAAAGTTTCCCGTTCTATGGGTCAGGAGAGAAGAAAGGTGCCCTCGCATGGTGGAGTGAGCAAAACTTCCTGGACACAGATGCAGGGGTGGGAAACGACTCTTTACTTCTACACATGTACATCTACAGATCCCTGCTCCTCACATTTACAGCACCGGCCCACCAACATGGCTCATGGTTCAGCTGAGAAGAAAGTCGGCAGAAAACCCTGTCCATTTGTTCCCTCTGGAAGGACATGTTTCTCGTAAACCTCTGGTCGAAATCTGGTTTTGTTGCTGATTTTGTTTGTACAACAAGTTCAGTGGACAGCACTGCACTAGCACTACAGGAGTATTTTTACACTAACCCTAAGTTATGGCTACGCTAACCCTATTTAGGGCTATGCTAACCTTAATTCTGGGCTATGCTAACCTTAATTTAGGGTTATGCTAACCCTATTTTAGGGTTACGCCTAACCCTAATTTAGGGTTACACTTAACCTTAATTTAGAGTTACGCTATCCCTCATTTAGGGTTATGCTAATGGAAATGTTGCAACAGTAAAGACACAAAATTTTTCCCTAACTTATTGATCATGTTGTTTTTAGCCCATCATTACCCCACCAACTTTGGTTACATAGGGCATATGTAACTTTGACTAACTCGCTGTAAGTTACAATGTAGAAATGGTTTCTAATAACCAAATTCCTCCAAACCTGTAGGTGTTGAGACTTATTTACTGTCCTATCACCATGTAGGAGAGAAATAAGTGCCTAGAGAGGCCTGTGTGTCACAGTGAACTGTAAACATGCCTGGAATTTATGTCCCACCCAGCTACAAGCCCAATCACTTCAGATATCTTGATTAAGTTCTGCTGCTAGTGATCATGCTGACCCTGTCTCATTGATGTAAGACAGCCAGTGGTTGGCTCTCCACCTGGACGAGGCTGTGGAAAGGGTTTCTCAAATCTGTTGTCTACAAAAAACTAGAGAACATTTTAAAAGCGAGCAAAAAATTTCATCTGAAGTGAACAAGTATTTTCAAAAGTGAGTGTAAATTGAGTTTCTTGGGCAACAATTCCCAAACCTCATTTTGACATTTTGCAACAATTAAAATTTGATGAAACCCCTTCACACCCTCTGTGTAAGATGCTTGTTGGTACAAAATTTGATCCCCTCCACATATGAAGACTGGCCTTAAATCTTGGACAGGACCCACCCAACTTGTCAACACCTTTGATGGACTGGAAACCCACACCTTTGTTTTCATGATGTCCTTGTAAAGTATGGAACATATTAAAAATCATATTGTTAGTTTGATTCTTACTGAATAGAAATAGCGAAGTTCCAACATTTATTTCAAAAACATACTGTACTTGAGAGAATGTTGCAATGGTTTATCATCATCGATTCCACATTTTATCACAACCTTCTGTGTTCTTTACACTTTTTTGTTTACCTTAACTACTTGTCTTTAAAACCTGTTTCCACTTAATTATCTGTATAATGAAAATACAATTTCCTTTGTTCAATTGTATCAACATAACCTCCTTGATTCTACTGACCAGGTGTAAAGATACAATTAAAGAAATTTTATATTCCCCATGTCATATATGTATCGCTATCAGTCATGAACCAGTAAAAATTTGTAAATCGTTTTCTGGAGGTAAACCATCTGTCTTTCACCATGACAAAATACTGGGCATGTATTCATACAGGCTGTGGCAGCTTTCCACACCTGACAAGTT